TGAGACCTTGTCTCAAAAAGAAAAAAAGCAAGAAACATACAAATCTGAAAAGGCATATTCCTGATAACAAGATGAAAACAAGAAGGACTTAACAGGTTATATTTACACTAAGAATGTAAAATGGCCAGATCAGATCAGCTCACTTAAAAAGTCCTTCCTGGCTGGGATTACAGGCACAAGCCTGTAATCTTTGGGAGGCCGAGGTGGGAAGATCACTTGAACTCAGGAGTTAAGAGACCAGCCCGGGCAACATAGCTAGACCTTGTTTCTACAAAACAAGTTAAAAATTAGCCAGGTGTGGTGGTGCCTGCTGTAGTCCCAGCTACATGCTGAGGTGGATGGATCACTTGAGCTGGGGAGGTGGAGGTTGCAGGGAGCTGTGATTATGCCATTGCACTCTAGCCTGGGTGACAGAGCAAGACCCTGTCTCAAAAAAAAAAAAAAAAAAAAAAAAAATCCTTCCCTTGAACAAAAAACTATTGTTTAGATGTCATAATTCCTCATGAAATGGATGCTTCTACATAACTGAATGAGATTCTCTGGGAGTTTACGTGTTTCTAAGTGCGGAAGACTTTTAGACATGAACATAGGATTTATGTTTCTTCACTAACAATATATCCTTAACTCTTGGTGCTGGACACAGAAAATTTCTGGAATAAAGTGTATTTGCAGAATTTGACAACAATCAGTTAAGCATGCCAGACACGGGAGCAGAAATGAGTTAATAAAATACTCTTAATTTTTCTTGATAGGAATATCACTGATAGTGCCTTTTTGCCTAACAGTGATAGCCCTATGCTATTATTTTATATGAGTTCCTTGTTAGCAAACTAAAAGTACTTTTAAATATTCTGCATCATTTTTGATGTCCAGGATAAAAGGCACCTACTACCATGCTGTAAAATTTATAATTTTAAGTATATATTTACAAATACATGTATATACATATATGTATATATGTATGTATGTCAAGTTTAGTTGGGTAAATATCCCAAAGTAAATTCAGCTCAGTTATTGAGGGGTTTGTTTTGCTTTGTTGTTTTGTAAGAGATATGAAATGATATTAACTGAAAGATAATCTTCCTGCTCTTGTGTTTACAAACCAACCTGATTACGACGCACTGACTAGTTTTGGGCTGCACAATTTCATAGAGGCTATGGATACGAATGTTTGCAAGAGAAGACTGGCAATGAGCTATTTAGACAACACACCCCGGAGGATCGGCCTGGGTCCTGAGATGATTTAGACAGGAGGAGAAAAGGATAAGGAATGGTGATATAGCAAAGGACAGCAGACAATTATCCGAGGGCGTTACTGATGAGGATGGCAATTCCTTGTCATTGGTCCACTGTTTGCTATGTATTGGAATTTGTATGTAATCTTCTCTAGCTTGCTTTAAAAATAGAATCATCAATGCCTCATGAGACAGACAAAGGAGAGCCTGCCGTGGAATCCAGAGATAAACCTGAATGACCTTTCAAGGTTCCCTTTCTACACCAATGTGAAAACACAGAATAAGATACCAGCATTACTCAACAGACCTGGTTACAATAAGTATGAATTACAATGCAGGAACATATGTCATTTCTTACACAAACAGTGAGGCAGGATATCTGATATTGCTTTAAGAAATTATGTGGTCAGCTGAAGCAAGATGACACATGTAAATCTTTTTCATAAATCAAAGTATAAGCTCACAAATTCTCCATATAAATAGCCTCAGGAGGGGCTGCTCTGATGAAATTGAAAATGTCTCTTCCATATGTGCAGTTTTAGGCTTTATAACATTTAAAGAAAATATTCTAAAAGATAAAGTTGGCATGTAAAAGCACGGGGAAAGGAATCAGCAATGATCAGAGCAAAACAATTCTAGAAGGCATCTTAATTTTCATATGGCTCATTTGCATTTGAAACACTGTGAATTCCTATCTCACTTGTACAAAATGTGTACATATTAAATTACTTTGCACTTGAAAGAACATTTTCCTAAATGTTTGGAAGATGATCAAATTTTAACTGGAGGACTTGTTTTCTTCCATCAGGTGTGGGGGAGATGTGGCTTCCTGGTATGAGAGGCAATAGTTGATTCTAATAGCAGAACAAGCAAAAATAAGAAAGTAAATTGAAAACAATTCTTGTTTGTACAATTTGATTTAAAGATGATAAGACAAGTGGATACTTATGGTACAAAGATGTCAAAATACATCAATTTTAAAATTAAGTAGGGTTACCTTTCCAAAAATTGAGATTTTCTGATACTTGAAAATTAGGTTCTATTACTTATTCTAGGATACCCATGGATATACTATTATTTATTTCAGTACACTTAATCTGAGTATCTAGTCAATGTTTAAGAGGTAGATGCCCATCAGCTACTATACAATAATTTCAGGAGACTACACAATACCCATCTCAAAACAAATTTTTGTTTTTTGGACACCATTTCACTCTGTTTCAGCCTGTTGCGCAGGCTGGAGTGCAATGGTGCAATCTCAGCTCACTGCAACCTCTGCCTCCAGATTCAAGCGATTCTTGTGCCTCAGCCTCCCAAGTAGCTGAGATTACAGGCATGAGCGTCCATGCCCAGCTAATTTTTGTATTTTTGATAAGGACAGAGTTTCACCATGTTGGCCAGGCTGGTCTTGAACTCCTGACCTCAGGTGATCCACCTGCCTCAGCCTCCCAAAATGCTGGGATTACAGGCGTGGGCCACCCACCTTGCCTCAAATGTTTAATAGCTAGGATATTGGCAGAACAGCAAAGGCTTAAAACCTCTTTACTATCAACTTTAAACATTATTTAGTCTTAAGGAAACCACAATGAATGAAAATATTTTTTTCTGTAACATTTGTTTTCTGCCATGGTAAAATGTCTAGGATTCAGGTGTGTCTTCTGAAGGAAAACCAGAACTTGAAAGGCACCCCTGTCTTTCTCTTGGTCTGGCTCCCTGGGCACCTCACTTGAAGGAGAGAGCTGTTTAGAACTGGCCTCATGTGTGTGCTACAGGGGGGCCCACCATGCAAAGGTGGATAGGATGCAGTTTACAGAGGATGGAGAACATGGGCTGATCTCTGTAAATGAGCATCTCTAGGTACGTGCTGCCCTTTGTGTTTCTTTCCTTTTGTTGCCTCTGGGCCTTTTGGAAGGCCTTGTTCACAGTCCCTGATCTGTATCAGCTGGGTTACAGGCATTGAACGAAAGGGTAGCACAGCTGTAAACCCAAGCAGAGAGCTGGAGCTGTGAAGGGAGAGCAGCACCCAACCCCCTCGAGGCAAGGCAAGGTCCGTGACAGATTCCCAGGGAGACAGTGACTAGGGAAACCAGGAGGCCAGCGGGGGCAGCTGACACTGTGCACCCTCCCAGGCCAGTGTGGGGGGGAGTCCGGTGAGGTGTTTTTTTTTGTTTTTTGAGATGGAGTCTTGCTCTTGTTGCCCAGGCTGGAGTGCAGTGGCATGATATTGGCTCACTGCAACCTCTGCCTCCAGGGTCTAAGCGATTCTCCTGCCTCAGCCTCCCAAGTAGCTGGGATTACAGGCACCCACCACCACACCAGGCTAATTTTTGTATTTTTAATAGAGACGGGGTTTTGCCATGTTGGCCAGGCTGGTCTCGACCTCCTAACTGTGTGATCTGCCTGCCTCGGCCTCCCAAAGTGCTGGGATGTTTTTATTTATTTATTTTTTATTATTATTTTTGAGACAAAGTCTCGCTCTGTTGCCTAGGCTGGAGTGCAGTGGCACAATCTCAGCTTACTGCAACCTCCGCCTCCCAGGTTCAAGCAAGTCTTCTGCCTCAGTCTCCCAAGGAGCTGGGATTACAGGCGCCCGCCACCATGCCCAGCTAATTTTTGTATTTTTAGAAGAGACAGGGTTTTGTCATGTTGGCCAGGCTGGTCTCAAACTCCTGACTTCAAGTGATCTGCCCACCTCGGCTTCCCAAAGTGCTGGGATTACAGGCGAGAGCCACCGCGCCAGCTGAGATGTTTTTAACAGGAGAGTGTCCTTTTACACGCAATTCACACTGTCTTTCAGATTGCTGCCTCAGCAGTCTTTATTTAATTTTTTTGTTGTTATTTAAGTATAAGCTGCATTGGGCTTGATTTGCAAACATTTAATAGTAAAAGGTAAAATGGCCCACGTAATCAAAATATGGATACCTGGAGATTTTGGATACACAGAAGTGATTTAACATTTCATCTTCTTGATTGGTTTGATTTTTCTCTCCCAACAAACTTCTATTTTAACTATGAAAAGGTTGGGAAAAGCCAACACTTTCTTCCTTTATGGAAAACGTGCTAATGAGAAGACAGATGACTGAAAATTAGATTGAAGATAAAAGATTAAGCAAATGCAAACTGTGAAAATTGCTAGCCTCTGATAAATTGGAAATTACAAACTTGGTTTATTATGAGGCTATGTTCGTCTACTTATTTATTTTAATAATATTAAGGACCTTCTATGGGTCAGATACTGTTTTAGGTGCTGGGTTTACAAGGTGAGAAAAAGCCCTGAACCAAAACAAACCTATTTCCATGGAGTTTATGGTTTAACTTCAAAGTTTTCTGAAAGCAAGTGAAGGACAGTCACCTGATAAACTGCAGAATTAATATTTGTCATAAGAGTCACCGTACTGTTCTGCAATACTGGCCCATTGGATAGAATTTGTTTCCCAGATGTCTGGGTTTCATTCCTTTGTACCTGGCAGACCTTGGTTTTGAGAAAAAGCCTAGGAAAGGCAGACTTAGGTGCCTGCCATGGGTGAAAAGATGGAAGAGTCAAGTTACCTTTATTGCACATCTGGAGGCTACAGAAAGGCACTTGGATTCCTTTGCAATGCTGGCAAAACTCAGTCCTGTTGGAATCAGCGTTTGATTGTATGAAGTTGTTATATTACGGGTATACAATCTTGTGGGTGGTATATCCAATCAGAGCAGCCAAACAGTTGTGTAACAATTTGATTCAAGTGTGTTTGGAATAAGGTTTTGTAATAATAATCTTGATATTTTCATAGTTCTATGGTTTTATTACATCAATTACCAATATTTATTAAGCTAGACAAATACAACTACACCAGTACAAACGAAAGGTCTTGGTGTCCACCTTGTCTCACTTTGAAAGGCAGACAAACAAAAACAAAAAAGGAATTCTTTTTATAGCACTTTAACTTTTGAGCGGAAGTACCTGCTGGCGTCTGCTGTTTCTTCCTTCATTACGCGCTTTTCTTTTAATTTGGTCCTCGTGAAAAGAATCAAAGTAGGAGCTCTCCAGGAGTTGGGAACAGGTTGATCTGTCATCTGGATTCATCTTCAGACACCCCTTTGGAGGAAGAGAATCACAAAGAAGATATTGAGGGAGGGGCTCATTTTGTTACCATGCCCACAAACTGAGTAATAACTTGTTAGGATAAATATGAGTTTAGAAAATCTTCAAGTTTGTGTATTATCAAGTAGTTGGAGCTTGTTAATAGGATTGCTCTTCTTTTTGCTACTTCAAGGTCTTTTGAGAACAGAATGAATGGATGGTCAGTGTCTCTCTGAAAGAGGCCGCCTGTAGATCTGGTGTTCCCACCAATGACATTGTAAAATCACTACTGAAAGCAAATTGTTTGCAGCAGTCTGCAGAGTGTAGCCCCTGGACTAAAAACATCAGTGTCGCAGGAACTTGCTAGAAACGCGAAGTCTTGGGTCCTACCCCCCGCCTGCCAAAGGGAATCGAAGCACTGGAGGTGCGGCCTGGCAGTTTGTGTTTGACAAGCTCTCTGGGTGATTCCGATGCCCATATGCTCAAGTTTGAGAACATCTGGGTTAAGGAGATGGCTGAGGAAGTGAGAACCTCAGTCATGAGAGTGAACCTAAAACAAGGAGAAATGAATGGACTATATATTCATATAAAAATAACTACAGGCAAAACAGAAAAGGTGACATTATGACCCTTCTATATTTGAGACCATTAGAAGCCTCTAGGTCAGCTTCTGAGAGTGGGGAGGAGTATCACAGCAGAGGGGTCTGTGGGGGTCCTGACACAAAGAGGTTTTCTCTGAGAAACACTGATACTCCAGCCAGACAGTGGGACTTTGCCCATCAATAAACACAGATTATGATCCATAAACAGTAGCTTTAAGCCAGACCTGGTGGCTCATGCCTGTAATCCTAGCACTTCAAGAGGCCAGAGGTCTAGACCAGACTGGGTAACATAGTGAGACCCCATCTCTCCTACATTTGCATTTTTAAAAGGAGCAGCTTTACAATACCCAGGCACAGATGACCTGACAATTATTGCCTTCCATCCATAAGAGAGAAATAAGGCTCACCACCATCACAAACATTGTTTTGAGACATTCTGAAGCCCAGACAATTGCATTGCCTGAGGCTGCCCCAGCCGGGCACTGCCCTGTGGTGTCTGTTCCTCCCTGACACCAGGTGACCTCAGATCTCTGAGATCCCTGAAGCTGCCTGCCCATAAGCAGTAGCACCTGGCCGTTGGCGAGCGATCTGATTAGTCCTGTTCTTCAAGAAACAATCCTGCTCAGCAAAACTAGACTTACCTGTCCCTCCATGTCTACTGCCTGGTCCAAGCAAATGACCCCTAATTAATGACTCATGCCATATATCAGCTCCAGCTGCCGAAGCATTCTCCTCAAACCCTAATACTGTCAGGGCTATAACCAGGACAGAAAGACTTTTTTTTTGTTGTTTTTTTGAGACAAAGTCTCGTTCTGGCTGTCAGCCAGGTTGGAATGCAGAGGCGCCACCTCGGCTTACTGCAAGCTCCGCCTCCCGGGTTTGAGCGATTCACATGCCTCAGCCTCCCAGATAGCTAGAATTACAGGCATGCACCACCATGCTGAGTACATTTTTGTATTTTTAGTAGAGACAGGTTTACCATGTTGGCCAGGCTGGTCTCAAACTCCTGACCTCAAGTAATCTGCCCACCTCGGCCTCCCAGTGCTGGAACTACAGGCGTGAGCCACTGCACCCTGCCAGAAAGACTATTTTGAATACAAACTGTGATAGTCTCTATTCTTTATCACTCAATTCTGGTTTTTGCTTCCACTGTTCCATTAAAGTGGCTCTCGTTATTAACACCTCTGACCTCTACTTCCATAGCCTTCAACCGATCATATGTTTTGAATTCTGTCTCCTCAATAGTATTAGACACTACTGACCAAGCCCTCCTTGAAACTTTGTTTCTCTTTGGCTTCTCTAATCTCTCACTTTCCTTGCTCCTCCCTCCTGGCCACTCCTTTTCAAACCAGCCTTTGCTAGTTTACCTTCTTCTCCACTATGGCTGGATAAAGTTCCTCAAGGCCAAATCCTAGCCACCCCTTTTTTTCTCATCTATTCTTGGTTTCTAGGTGATCTCTTTGCTGCCGATGGCTTCAGTTATCAAAGTTTACCAGAGATTTCCACATCTACAATTCCATTCCAGACCTCCCCTAGGAACTCCAGACCTGCAGGCGCAACTGCTTACTTAACATCTGTCTCAAGGTCACTGTTGTCGGTTGAATTGTGTCACCACAAAAATATATATGTTGAAGTTCTAACTCCCAGTACCTCAGAATGTTACCTTTTTTGGAAATAAGGTCTTTGCAGAAGTAATTTGTGAAGACAAGGTCATAATGGCATGGAGTAGACCCCCTAACCCAATTATAATTGGTTTCCTTATAAGAAGAGGGAAGATGGTGTAGACAGACACACAGAGTGAATGCCTTGCTATGACGGAGGTAGAAATTGGAGTTACATTGTCACAAGTCAAAGAATGCCTGGGGCTACCAGAAGCTGGAAGAGGCAAGGAAAGACCCTTGCCAAGAGTTTTCAGAGAAAGCCCGGACCTGCCAACACCTGAAAAACCAATACAGGCACTGTATCCTTGCCACCTCTTCTACTTTATTCCCCATATATCAGTCATAATTAAGTCCTATCAGTTTTCCTTTCAAATATATCTTGAATTTATTCACGTTTAATTTAATTTAATTTTAGAGATGAGGTTTCACTGTCGCCCAGGCTAGAGTGCAGTGGCACAATCATGGTTCACTGTGGTCTTCAACTCCTGGGCTCAGGCAATCCTCCCGCCTTAGCCTCCCAAGTAGCTGGGACTAAAGGCAAGTGCCACCATTCCCGGATAATTTTTATTTATTTTTTGTGTTTTGTAGAGATAGGGTCTGACTTTGTCCAGGCTGGTCTCAAATGCCTGGGCTCGAGTGATCCTCCTGCCTTGGACTCCCAAAGTGCTAAGATTACAGGCATGAGCCACCATGCCCAGCCTCATTCACTCATTCATATTTTTATATGGGCTTTCAAAACTATTGAAATCTAGTCCATCACTAAATACCTATGAATTTTCATTTTAAAGAACATTTTTAGATTCTTAGAAGACACTACTAATGCTGAGCTCCCTCCATGGAGTCTGAGCGGGAACAATGTCCTGCTTGATTAGTTCTGAAGCACTAAGATGAACTGAGTAGAACTGAGGCTTCTGAGCCTTTGCCTGCCTGGATTAATAACTTTCTGTATATCAAGAAGCTGACGGATTAATCAGAGGTGTTCCCTGTAGACATGCTCCTAACCCAGAAAACGTCTTGAAGATGGGAGATGAGAAATCAAAACTGTAATGTCCAAGTCAGGATCCTTTTCTTAAGTCCAAACTTCAAATTTCACAGAAAACGCTCCAATAAAATTTCTAATAGTCTATAGTCTCCTTCTTGATGACTAGCTTAAGCTGATACAGTGATAGGATAGTCATGACTATGGAAATAAATGAGTAATAAATAAGAAAGATTGTGCTCATGGTCTCATTTTAAACCTAATGAAGAGAACACAAAAGACCTGCCATAGATTGGCCACTGCACGCCACCGCTCTCCTTGACTCCGCCATTGCCCAATACGTCATCCACCTGAGCAGTTCCCTGCATAGGTTGCGATTCGGTCCCATGGGATAAACACCAGTTATGGCAGCCAGTACTTATTTGCTGTTAAAGATGTCCTGGGCCAGGTACAGTGGCTCACTCTTGTAATCTTAGCACTTTGGGAGGCCGAGGTGAGTGGATCATGAGGTCAGGAGATGGAGACCATCCTAGCCAACATGATGAAACCCCGTCTCTATTAAAAATACAAAAATTAGCCCAGTGTGGTTGTGCGCGCCTGTAGTCCCAGCTACTCGGGAGACTGAGGCAGGAGAATCGCTCGAACCCAGTTGGCGGAGGTTGCAGTGAGCAGAGAACTCCAGCCTGGGAGACAGAGCAAGACTCTGTCTCAAAAAAAAAAAAAAAAAAAAAAAAAAAAAGGATGTCTCAACTGCAAAGAATTAAAGTGTTCTTTCATCTACCATGGGGCAGGAGTCTATAAGATAGGATGTGACCCATGTAATAGCACAATCCTTGATGCACTGAGAGGATTCTTGGGCCTTACGTTGATACTTATGGGTCTAAATAAAATAGTTGAGTAACAAACCTAGCTTCATCTAAAAGCTTAGGCAGCCAACCAGGGCTCTTTATCTTTGGAGATGAGGACGGGGAACTTGTCCTACACCTTGCAGTTTTCATGCCCCAGAGTTGCCTTCAAGGGAACCACAGGTCATCTCTGGCTTCCATCTGAGAATTGGTTGGGCTTGCAGTGCTTGATGCCTCCCTTCTCCCTTGCAGGTTTCGCTAAATTGCAGGTGGGTCAGAACCACCTGTCAAGAACAAGGTCAGGGAATTGGGCTTCTAGGACAGGACCTGCTGAGTGCTGGATGAAGGCAGGTCTGGACAGTAAGACAGGACAGATGGCAGCTAAGGTCAGGTGGAGCAATGGTATGGGGAGTCTGAGAGCACAGGGGTATCTGGCTCTGACTCTCAGGAGGACTCAGGTTGAAGCACTCCAGCACTCTGGATAGCACCATGGCAGTGATCAGCACTCCCACAAAGGCTGGTCTACAAAGTTGACTCTAGGTCATCCAAATGGCCCCACTGTCTAGATCAGATGAGTCTTAAACTGAGTTGTTTATCGTAATCACCTAAGGGCATGTTTAAAGATACACATGCCAAGGTCCCACTCATGAAAATTCTCCTTCTCAATCTGAGGCTAGATACCGGAATCCATATTTTTCAAAAGCTCCCAGGCCATTCAGATGAATAGCCACATTTGGAAGACACTGCTGTAGACAGAACTTAATTGACTGTTAAAGATAGATACCCTCTCCGGTATCCTCATACCCTTTGTCCAATGAGCTTTTGGTATATACAGTGGATGGCAGGGTCACACACCTTCTAGTGTGGCTTCATTTGGTCAAGCATGAATGGCAGACTAGGCAGAGGTAAGTTTCTTCTGCTTTTTATTTGAATCTGTCCTTGGTTTGACCATCTCTCTTAGGCCTAGTGCAGGAGCTAGGTCTGGTGTCTGCATGGCTCTGATTTTGCCTCATCTACTAATGTTAATAGATATGTTAGAACAATGACTGCTTTAACCACTGATGTCCCTTTAACTGGGATTATTTTACAGTTCTTTATCATTTTCAATGACTACATCCTATTTTGGCATTATTTAATCCACTGTCCAGCCCTCCTCAAATTACCAGCTTCAGTCATTACAATTTATAGCTAATAAGAGTTATAATTGATTCTTAAGTACCTTCATGAAGTTCAGAGCCACAGGATGAGCATCTGAGAACTTTTCCTCAAGAGTTTCCTGAAAAACAAAGTTAAAACATTCAATATTACAGAACAACAAAGTAATTTGTATGTGTGTGTGTGTGTGTGTGTGTGTGTGTGTGTGTGTATTTACAGACAGGGTCTCCCTCTGTCTCTCAGGCTGCAGTGCAGTGGCATGATCATAGCTTACTCTAACCTTGAACTCCTGGGCTCAAGAGATTTTTCCACCTCAGCCTCCTGAGAATCTAGGACTATAGGTGGGTGCCACCACACCCAGCTAATTTTTAATTTTTTTGTAGAGATGGGGTCTTGCTATGTTGCATGAGCTGGTCTCAAACTTCTGGCCTCAAGTGATTCTTCTGCCTCAGTCTCCCAAAGTGCCGGGATTATAGGGGTGAGCCAGCTCACCTGGCTTATATTTTGAATATATTAGTAATAACAACGCTTTAAAGAAAGACCCTCTAGTAGGTTAGATAATTCATTTTAAATATATTTTTAAAAAATCATGCTTTTATATAATTGTACACTGTAAAGATCTGAAATACATAAAATGAAGTTATTTTCTTAATTTCACAATGTCTTGCAGTTGATGCTGGGTAAATGTGGGTCCCAAATGCTCCCATCTGAAATCCCACAACAGTGCCGTAAAATCTGTGCCTGATCTACTTCTAAGGATGTTTTTGAGTATTCACGAAAATACCTTGGACTACATGCATAAGAACACTACAGAAACCAAAAGAATGAAAAACACAACATTCAGAATGATGAGGAAGGAAGGGGATGGAGATGCCTGAAAGATAACGGTGGGAAACTTAAGACACTTAAATTTGTTGTAGTTTATTCTTTAAACACATGTTATATAAATATTCCTTTGTAACCTTTAACCTTGCAGTTCCACCTTTAACCTTGTATTACATTTGTTAAAGGTTTTCACAAAGACAATAAAAAAGAAAACCAGTATATAAATCAAGACATTATATGAAATAATTGATTTAAAATGAACAGGGTGTCTAGAGATGGTTGGGACCATTTGGAGCTCAGGTGATTTGGACAGTTCACACCTATCACAGATCATGATCTGCCTTCTCAGAGTTTTTCCCATCCGCACATGGTTCTGACTCCAGCACAGCTGGAGTGTGGACACATGCTTTTCCTGGCAGTTTTTTCTTTTATAGGCAGATTCTGGACCATATGGAGCTTTAAAGAGCATAGCCTGAACTTAGGTAACACACACAGGAAGTCAATGTCTTCAGAGAGTAAGAGAGAGAGTCAAGTGGTCATTGATATGTTTTCAAATAAAGGCAAAGACCATTGCAAGAGTAGAGAGATGATCCCTGTGATTTGGAATTTAATGAGTACAATGGGGATCATTTTGTAAAACAACCACCCGTGTAAAAATATATGTGGTGAAAAAAGCTTTTGATTGATTTGAGTTTTGTTTTACAAGCCGAAAAAATTTTTAAATGCATTTTTGTCAAAATGAATAAGACTACTATAAGTAGTCTTTATGAGAATATAACTATTTAAGGGAAAATCCTCCTAAGGCTTTGACCAATGGATTAAAAGTATGTCGTATCTAAGATACTAAATATACTTTCACTTTAAATTTAACATTCATTTTTGAATAGTTAAGACAAGTAAACATTTAAAGCATTTTTCCTGGCTCATTGTAATGTAGTTTTTATATAGTTTCTTCAATATGTGAGATATGGTTTGGCTCTGTGTCCCCACACAAATCTCATCTCAAATTATAACCCCCATGTGTTGAGAGAGGGAGGTGATTGGATCATGATGGGGGTTCCTCCATGCTGTTCTCATGATAGTAAGGGAGTTCTTACAAAATCCGATGGTTTCAAAAGTGGCAGTTTTCTCTTGTGCCCTCACCTCTCCTGCCGCCTTGTGAAGAAGGTGCCTGCTTCCCCTCCTGCCATGATTGTAAGTTTCCTGAGGCCTCCCCAGCCATGCAGGACTGTGAATCAATTTAACCTCTTTCCTTTATAAATTACCCAGTCTCAGGGAAGTTCTTTACAGCAGTGTGAAAACAGACTAATACACTGTGTCAATATGTCACAAGAAGCCAAAACCACAAATATTAAAAAAGAAACAGCTCGGGCATGGTGGCTCATATGAGTAATTCCAGCATTGGGGAGGCTGAGGTGGGAGGATCACTTGAGTCTCAGAGGTTGAGGCTGTAGTGAGCCATGACCTTGCCACTGCACTCCAGCCTTGGCGATAGAGTGAGATATCATCTCTAAATAAATAAATAAATAAGAAACAACTACCTCTTTAAAGAAAGCAGCAACACAAGTAATAAAATATTCAAGATAGAGCAGTTTACCATATCTTCTGGTTCAGGTATACTGATGCCGTGGAAAAACCGGTTACTTTTAAAGATTGATTGATGTCTTGGGATTAATTTTCCTGTAAAATACAAACCACATAATTCATCATAAATTTGGCAAAGAATAATCAAGTGTTTAAATGGTTAATGCCTGAAGGCCAGGTGTGGTGGCTCACACCTGTAATCCCAGCACTTTGAGAGGCCAAGGCAGGTGGATCACTTGACGTCAAGAGTTCGAGACCAGCCTGGTCAACATGGCGAAACCCCGTCTTTACTAAAAATACAAAAATTAGCCGGGCGTGGTGGTCAGTGCCTGTAATCCCAGCTACTCAGGAGGCTGAGGCAGGAGAATCGCTTGATCTTGGGAGGCAGAGGTTGCAGTGAGCTGAGATCATGGCACTGAAATCCAGCGTGGGCGACAGAGCAAGACTCCATCTCAAAACAAAAACAAAACAAACAAAAAAGACAAAAAACAGGTTTAATGCCTGAAGTGCAGGTGTGAAAGAAATATTGTGCCTGACTGGTCCCTCCAGAGATGAGAGGAATGGGATTCTGCAGACGTATGCCTTCTCGGGTAAGGGCAGTTCTCCCAAACCAGTCTCTTCGTCACATGTGGTCACCATTCAGCCTCCATCAAAAGGTGAAGACTGGGAGCGCTGGCTCACGCCTGTAGTCCCAGCACTTTGGGAGGCTGAGGGAGGTGGATCACAAGGTCAAGAGATCGAGACCATCCTGGCCAACATGGTGAAACCCTGTCTCTACTAAAAATACAAAAAATTAGCTGGGCGTGGTGGTGCACACACCTATAGTCCCAGCTACTTGGGAGGCCGAGGCAGGAGAATCGCTTGAACCTGTGGAGGTTGCAGTGAGCCGAGATCGCACCACTGTACTCCAGCCTGGTGACAGAGTGACAGTCCATCTAAAAAAAAAAAAAAAAAAAAAAAAGACAAGGTGAGAGAATGGTACTACAGTCTTTACACACATTATCTCATTTAATCTCATAAATGAGATTTGATGAGACTTCATCTCATAATCTCAAGACAATAGTTGTTATTTATTTATTTTGAGACAGGGTCTCTCTCTGTTGCCAAAACTGGAGTGCAGTGGCACAATCATGGCTCACTTCAGCCTCGATCTCCCAGTCTCAAGCAATCCTTCACCTCAGCCTCCTGAGTAGCTGGGACTACAGGTATGCGCCATCATGTCCAGCCAATTTTTAAAATTTTTTTGTAGATATGGGGTCTGCCTATGTTGTCCAGGTTGGAGTAGTTGCTATTTTAAATCCCTATTGTTCCAATGAGGAAAGTGAGGTTCAGAGAAGTGTAATAACTTGTCCAAGATCACACAGTAACCTAACAGATCCAGGATTTAAACTCAGATCTGTAATGCAAATTTCCAGAATCTTTTCAGGGAATGAATCAGACAAAGTGTGGCCGGTAGTGGTACTCTACCCCACATTTTTCATGCTGCAGAATTTTCCATAATACGTTGGAACTGAACAGGGATCTGTCCAGCAGCCATGCTGCCAGGAGAGCCCGTGGGAAGGAATTAACAAATTCTCATTTTATGTGTAGAGGTATCACTTTCTTTGCATCTATGCTGTTGGCATGAAGCTGTGGCTCACTTTTCAGGTTATGCTGACACATAATGAAAGCTCACGAAAGAAACCCTTGGAGTCCCATTCCTATTCTGCACTTACCTGGCTATGCAACTTCAGGCCAATCATGGCAGCTCCCTAAGCCTCTGTTTCCTCATTTATAACACAGGCACAATTAAAAACATTGTAACTTCCTTAACAGGTTTTTCTTAAGACTGAAAAAGATGATGCGTATGAAAGTAATTTGTAAATTCTAAAGTACTATACAAAGAAGATGTGTTAACATTATTCGAAACTTCAGCAGCCACTCCTAATCAGGAAGTAAAATCAGACTCTTAAGCTCTCCGGCAGGGGTCCGCCAAACTATGGCCTGCAGGCCAAATCTGGCCTAGCGCCTGTTTCGGTACAGCTTGTGACCTCAGAATTGGTTTTACATTTTTAAGCAGATTTTTAAAAGTTAAAAAAGATTTTTTGATGTTTTGTTGCATGTGAAAACTAGAAGAAATTAAAATTTCTGTGTCCATAAAGTTCTATGGGAACACAGCTATGCTCATTTGTTGACATGCTGTGTATGGCTGCTTTTGCACTACAATAGCAGAGTTGGGGAACTGCAACAGAGACTGTACAGTCTGCATAACCTAAAATATTTACCATCTAGCTTTTTATGGAAACAATTTGCTGATTCCTGCTCTAGAATAAAGGGGGGAAACCTCTTTTACAGTGGACAGAAATTGCACTTGATCGAATATCTTACACTAGGCTCTCAGCAGCTGACTCATATCCTTATCCCTATCTTAGTCTGATATGGAAAGTAAATGTATAGTTTATTCCACGGCTAATTGACTTTTCCTGGAAAGGGGTCTGAGAGCTCCCTGAGAGGAGTTAGGGTTCTACATGTTTAGAAAAGGATTGGGCTTTGGCTACAACCCAGACCCCAGAGCAACCATCCTAAGTTTAAAGTTTGAAGAAGCAATAAAACTCTTGTTTTTTCTATTTATTTATTTGTGTATGTATGTATTTATTTATTGTAACATATGAATGCTATGAATGCTATAACAATTCAGCACCTCTGTCACCATAAAATGCAATTCATACCTAGTGTTCTGATTATCAGATAAAGTTGGTCCACATCTGATTTTCCAGGCCACAGTGGCTGGCCTGTCAGGAGCTCTGCAAAAACGCAACCAACAGCCCATATAAATCTACTGAAGAACCACACTGAGTATCTCCCACAAGAAGTTCAGGAGCTCGGTACCATCTCGTAGCTACATAATCCGTGTAGGCATCTCCTGGAACTGCAAATGCATCAATCAGATCAGGTAAGTCAATTCTCCCACATGTGAACTGCTCCCAAGAACACATCAGGCATTCAGCCTTCAATAACCATCAGAGGCCATGATACTCTTAACAGTTAATGCAGTGAGGCACTAATTGAGGAAACAGTTACTGTGCATTGACATAGTAAATTTGACATTCAAGAGCACTTTAGGTAACTAACATCTATTATTACTCCAAACTGGGGCAGCGGGTGGTGTGGTAGTGATGAGGGGAATGAGAATTTCTGGAGTGTGACTTTAAGTCTAAACTGCATTGTTGGTTTCCATTTTATCATCAGCATGGGGGTTGTTGTGCGTTGAATTGCGTCCCCTCAAAAGATAGGTTGAAGTTCTAATTCTTGGTACTGTGAATGTGACCTTATTTGGAAATAAGGTTTTTGCAGATGTAATTAATTAGTTAAGATGAGGTCATACTAGATTAGGGTGGACTCTAAATCCAATGACTTGAATCCTTACAGGGACACAGAGACACAGAGAATGCCATGTGATACTGGAGGCAGAGACTGGAGTGATGCAGTTGCAAGCACAGGAATGCCAAGGTTTCCCACATCCACCATCAGCTGGGATAGAGGCTGGGCATGGTGGCTCACGCCTGTCATCCCAGCACTTTGGGAGGCCGAGGTGGGCAGATCACTTGAGGTCAGGAGTTAGAGACCAGCCTGGGCAACATGGCAAAACCCTGTCTTTACTAAAAATACAAACATTAGCCAGGCATGGTGGTGTGTGTGCTTGTCGTCCTAGCTACTTGGGAAGCTGAGGCAGGAGAATCACTTGAACCTGTGGAGGCTGCAGTGAGGCGTGATCGCGCCACTGCACTCCAGCCTGGGCGATAGAGTAAGACTCTGACTCACACATATACAAAAAAGAAGCTAGGCTAGAGACATGGAAGGGTCCTCTCCTAGAGCCTTCAGAGGGGATGTGGCCCTGCTGAAACCTTGATGGCAGATGTCTGGCCTCCAGAATTGTGAGAAAATAGATTTCTGTTGTTTTCAGCCACTCAGATTGTGGTAATGTATCATGGCAGCCCCAGGAAACTAATGCAGCACTAGACAATTGCATAAATTAATTTTTCTATCCAAATGTGTTACTTAGGACCCATGGTGACAAAGACCTCAATTTGACTCCTTGTACTATGTATATGAGTCCTCTGTGGTATGTGATAGACAGATGACAGAGAGCTGGGTGCACCCTCACTGCCCAGCCCTGCCCTATGCCACAGGTGTGGACTGCCTGGACCCAAGACACCTGCCTCCAAGTGGATGGAAGCCAATCCCAGAATCATCACATGACCCTGAACGATAAGGAGCCCTACAAATGCATTACAGAGGAGGAACAATTGGAAAGCAGCCCGGCTTGCAGAGATGAGGTAATGCGCAATTCTCCTTAGTAAAGTCGTTGGGTAGCCCCAAAGATGCTGCCACAAAAGGCAGCTCAGAAAATAGCGGCTGCAGCTCTGGTCAAACAACAGTCCTCATAGGAGTGGGAAAAGGAAATAATCTTACTTGCTCATTGCTCTTTTATAAAATTATATAAACTTTTAAAGGATAAAAATTAATAAATACCGTAATGGAAATTTGCAAAATGGAGAATAAGAAGGAAAATAACAACCACTAGCAATTGTCACTATTCACAGGCTATGTCAGCTGTTTTATTTGTTTGGAACATTTTTCAACTTAAAAGTCATATATGCTCACTGCAGAGAATATGGAAAAATACGTAAGAAAACAGAAAGAAGGTAAATAAACCCAAGTTTTACCACCCAAAGGTACCTTGTGTTAATCTTTTGGTGTATTTTGTTTGAGTCTTTTTCTTATTTACAGGATAGTTTTGAGTGCTTTTTTGGAGGCAGGGTGATGCTGTCTCCCAGGCTAAAATGCAGTGAAACAATCATAGCTCACTGCAGCTTTGAACTCCTGGGCTCACGTGATCTTCCTGCCTCAGCCTTCTGAGTAGCTGGGACTATAGGGGCTTGAAACCATACCTGGCTAATTTAAAAAAAAAAAATTAAAAAAAAATTTTTTTTTAATTTTTATAGATGGAGGTCTCACTACGTTGCTCAGGCCGGTACAAGTACTTTTGATCATACTACATACAAAATTTTGTGTCCTGATTTTTTTCATTGAATTCTATGCATTTATCATGTTATTATAAACTCTTCCTAAACTTGAGTTTAATGGCCGCGTAACAGTTTACCAAGTGCATACGCCAGGATTTACTTTACCTTCCCCAAATTGTCCAACATTTTGTCACTACAAATAACACCACATTATTTTTCAATAATCCCTGCACAAAACTTTTTCTGTATTTAGAATTATTTCAAGGCCAGGCACACTAGCTGACACCTATAACCTCAGCACTTTGTGAGGCCAAGGCAGGCGGATTGTGTGAGCCCAGGAGTTTGAGGCCAGCCAGAGCAACATGGTGAAATCTTGTCTCTACAAAAATAAAAATAAAAAAAATCAACCAGGCATAGTAGCACGCACCTGTGGTCCCGGCTACATGGGAGGTTGAGGCAGGAGGATAGCTTGAGCCTAGGAGGTTGAGGCTGCAGTGAGCTATGATCATATCACTGCCCTCCAGCCTGGGCTACAGAGCGAGACTCCATCTCTTAAAAAAAAAAAAAAAAATGGAGCTGGGCTTGGTGGCTCATGCCTGTAATCCCGGCACTTTGGGAGGCTGAAGGGGATGGATCACTTGAGCCTAGGTATTCGAGACCAGTCTGGGCAAAATGGCGAAATCTCTCTCTCTAAAAAAAAAAAAAAAAAAGAATTATTCCTTTAGAATGATTTTCTATGAGTGGAATTATTAGATTGAGAGGTGTAAACATCACTTATAAAATTATTATTATTATTTTTGAGAAGGAGTTTCGCTCTTGTTGCCCAGGCTGGAGTTCAATGGCATGATCTCAGCTCACCACAACCTCCACCTCCCGGGTACATGCGACTCTCCTGCCTCAGCCTCCCTAGTAGCTGGGATTACAGACATGCGTCATCATGCCCAGCTAATTTTGTATTTTTAGTAGAGATGGGGTTTCTCTATGCGAGTCAGGCTGGTCTCAAACTCCTGACCTCAGGTGATCCGCCTGCCTTGGCCTCCCAAAGTGCTGGGATTACAGGCGTGGGCCACAGTGCCCATTTATAAAATTATTAAAGAAATTTATGTTCTTTGTAGAAAACTTGGAAAATACAAAAAAGCATAAAGAAGAAAATAAAAATATCACCTACCACCCAGAGAGAAACCAAGTTAACCTGGGGAATAGAACTGGGATCAGTCTGTATGTGCGGCTATGTGTTCTTTTTCATTTAGCCCCATGTTGTGAGCTAGAGCATTTCTCATGTCATTAAAATCCTTTAAAAATATATTTTTACAGTATTAAGTCAGATAAATTCTTTAGCCATTTCCGTATTTCTGAATGATTGGGTTCCTCTTAATTTTTTTCTCAGTAATAAATGGTTCTACAGTGAATATTATGTTGTATTATTTTGGGGGGTAGTATCTTGGATTATGAGAGATTCCTAAAAGCGAAATTAAAGATACAAAGGGCACTTACTGCTTTCTCAAGGATTTGTTCAAAATTGTGTTCCCACTAAAAACAATCTTGTGAGCTCTGTGTAGTTATTGTTTGAAAAATCTGGCTGGGCACGGGGGCTCACACCTGTAATCCCAGCACTTTGGGAGGCTGAGGTGGGAGGATCACTTGAGCCCAGAAGTTCGAGATCAGCCTGGGACCCATGGTGAAACCCTGTCTCTACCAAAAATACAAAATTTAGCCCTGTGTGGTGGTATACATCTGTCGTTCCAGCTACTCGGGAGGCTGAGGTGGGAAGATTGCTTGAGCCTTGGAGGTGGAGGTTTCAATGAGCTGAGATCACGCCACTGCACTCCAGCCTGGGTGACAGAGTGAGACTGTCTCAAAAACAAACAAACAAATACTCTGCCAGCTTCATTGGTGAAGAGTAGTATTTTAATGTGCATTTATTTGATATCAGTGAAGATGAAGACTATTTCATGTTTTTAGCCTTTTCTTTCATCTGTGAACTGTCGATATCTTGCTAATTTTTCTACTCAGAGCTTTTGTGGTTTTTTTTTAAACCAATTTATATAAGCTCTTATCTATCAACCTATTACCAATTTTGAAATATTCTCTCCTTTGGTTATTGACTTTAAAATTTTTACCTCTCTGTGTATATCTATACATCTATATATAGGAGGAGCTTACATTTATTTTGTGGTAAAATATACATAATATAACATTTACCACGTAACCATTTAAGATTGTACAATTCAGTGGCATGAAGTACATTCAGTGTTACGCAACCATCACCACCATGCACTTCCAAAATTTTCCCATCACCCCAGCCTGAAACTCTGTATCCTTTAAACAACAGCTCCCCATTCTCCCTTCCCCTAGTCCTGATAACCACTATTCTTTTTTCTGTCTCCATGAATTTGACTATTCTAGGTAGAGCATGTAAATAGAATCATATGATATTTGTCCTTTTCTGTCTGTCTTATTTCGCTTGGCTTAATGTTTTCAAGGTGCATCCATGTCGTAGCATATATCAGAATTTCATTTCTTTTTAAGATTGAGTAAGATTTCACTATATGTATATACTACATTTTGTTTATCCACTCATCCTTGATGGACATTTGGGTTGTTTCCACCTTTTGTCATTGTGAATAATCCTACTATAAGCATTGGCATACAAATATCTTCAAGTCCCTGCTGTCAGTTTTTTGGGGGTATGTACCTAGAAGTGGAATTGCTGGATCATACAGTGATTCTATGTTTAATTTTTTGAAGAACTGCCATACTGCTTTCCACAGCAGCTGCACCATGGTACATTCCCACTAGCAATGCATGAGGGCTCTAATTTCTTCACATCTTTACCAACACTTGTTATTTTGTTCTGTGTGTTTTTAAAAAATAAGAATCATCCTAATGGATGTGAAGTGGTATCTCATTGTGGTTTTGATTTGCCTATCCCTAATGATTACCTTAAGCATCTTTCATGTACTTATTGGCCATTTGTATATCTTTTTTTTTTACTTTTTATTTTTTACATTTTTAATTTATTTTCTTTTTGAGACAGGGTCTTGCTCTGTTGCCCAGGCTGGAGTGTAGTGGTGCGATCTCGGCTCACTGCAACCTCTGTCTCCTGGGTTCAAGCTACTCTCATGCCTCAGACTCCTGAGTTAGCTGGGATTACAGGTGTGAGCCACTGCGCCCTGCCTTATATATCTGCTTTAAAGAAATGTCTATTCTGATGGTTTCTGAGGAAAATGGCGGATAGGAGGCAGGACTAACTTGCAGCTACGACTGGGACAGACAGAGCAGCGTGTGGAGACTGACATCATGAACTTTTGCTCCAAGAACTACCACAGGAACATACCAGGAAAGCCAAGAGAATCCACAGACCCTTTGAAGAAGGTGGATTACCGCTGCAGGCTCTGTGGGACAGCCAAGGAGCTCCGAAGACAAAGGTCATATTCTCCTGGGAGCTCTATGGCCCCACCCACTGCCTAATCCACCCTATGCTACCGCAGCTGATGTGCTCTTGAGAGCACCACCTCCTGGCTGGAGGTCAACCAACATAAACTAGTGCGCTTAACAAAAATAGAGCCAAGTCAACCAACATAAAACCAGTGTGCTTAACAAAAACACAACCAAGGACCCTCACAGAGTCCGCTTCACTCCCCTGCTACCTCTACCAGAGCACGTGCTGGTATCCATGGCTGAAAGACCTGACAATGGATCACATCACAGGACTCTTTGCAGACACTTAGTACCAGCCCAGAGCCTGGTAGCTTCTCTGGGTGGCTAGATCCAGAAGAGAAATAACAATCAATGCAGTTCAGCTCTCAGGAAGCCCTGTCCCTAGGGGAAAGGGGAGAGCACCACATCAAGGGAGCACCCCATAGGACAGAAGAATCTGAACAGCAGCCCTCAAGTCCCAGATCTTCCCTCTGACATAGTCTACCCAAATGAGAAGAAACCAGAAAAACAATTCCAGTAACATGATGACAAAATAAGGTTCTTTTTTTTTTGAGGCGGAATCTTGCTCTGTCACCTAGGCTGGAGTGCAGTGGTGTGATCTTGGCTCACTGCAACCTGTTTCCTGGGTACAAGTGATTCTCCTGCCTCAGCCTCCTGAGTACCTGGGACTACAGGTATGTGCTGCCATACCCAGCTAAGTTTTGAATTTTTAGTACAGATGAAGTTTCACCATGTTGGCCAGGCTGCTCTTGAACTCCTGACCTCAGGTATCTGCTTGCCTTGGCCTCCCAAAGTGTTAAGATTACAGGCGTAAGCCACTGTGCCTGGCCCAAAACAAGGTTCTTTAACACTTCCAAAAGATCACACTAGCTCACCAGCAATGGATCCAAGCCAAGAGATAATCTCTGATTTGACAGAAAAAGAATCCAGAAGGTCAACTATTAAGCCAATCAGGGAGGCAACAGAGAAAGATGAAGTCCAACCTAAAGAAATAAAAAAAATGATACAGGATATGAATGGAAAAATCTTCAGTGAAATAGAGAGCATAAATAAAAAAACAATCACAACTTCTGGAAATCAAGGACACACTTAGAGAAATGCAAAATGCACTGGAAAGTCTCAGCAACAGAATTGCACAAGTTCAAGAAAGAACTTCAGAGTCTGAAGACAAGGCATTCAAACTAACCCAATCTGACAAAGACAAAGAAATAAGAACTAAAAAAATGAACAAAGCCTCCAAGAAGATTGGTATTATGTTTAATGATGAAACCTAAGAATAATTGGTGTTCCCAAGGAAGAAGAGAAATCTAAAAGTTTGGAAAACATATTTGAGGGAATAATTGAGGAAAACTTCCCTGGCCTCACTAGAGATCTAGACATCCAAATACTTCTTGCTCAAAGAACACCTGGGAAATTTATTGCAAAAAGATCATCACCTAGGCACGTAGGCATCAGGTTATCTAAAGTCAAGACGAAGGAAAGAATATTAAGAACTCTGAGGCAAAAACATCAGGTACTATAAAGGAAAACCTATCAGACTAACAGCAGATTTCTCAGTAGAAACCCTACAGGCCAGAAAGGATTGAGGTCCTATCTTTAGCCTCCTTAAACAAAACAATTATCAGCCAAGAATTTTGTATCTAGTGAAACTAAGCTTCATAAATGAAGGAAAGATACAGTCTTTTTCAGACAAAGAAATGCTGAGAGAATTTGCCACTGCCAAGCCAGCACTACAGGAACTGTTAAAAGGAGCTCTAAATCTTGAAACAAATGTTTGAAATACACTAAAATAGAAACTCCTTAAAGCATAAATCTCACAGGACCTATAAAACAGCAACACAATGAAAAAAACCCAGGGTATTCAGGCAACAAGTAGCATGATGAATAGAATAGTACCTCACATCTCAATACTGATGTTGGATATAAATGGCCTAAATGGTCCACTTAAAAGATACAGAATGGCAGAGTGGATAAAAATTCACCAACCAAGTATCTGCTGTCTTCATGAGACTCATCTCATGAAGACACACAAGGACTCACATAAGCTTAAGGTAAAGGAGGGAAAAAAGGTATTCCCTGCAAATGGATACCAAAAGTGAGCAGGAGTAGCTATTCTCGTATCAGACAAAACAGACTTTAAAGCAACAGTAGTTAAAAAAGACAAAGAGAGACATTATATAATGATAATAAAAAAAATTGTCCAACAGGTAAATATCACAATCCTAAATATATATGCATCTAACATTGGAGCTCCCAAATTTATAAAACAATTACTACTAGACCTAAGAAATGAGATAGTAACACAATAATAGTGGGGGATTTCAATACTCCACTGACAACACTAGACAGGTCATTAAGACAGAAAGTCAACAAAGAAACAATGGACTTAAACTATATCCTACAACAAATGGACTTAACAGATATTTACAGAATATTCTACCCAACAACTACAGAATATACATTCTGTTCATCAGCACATGGAACATCTGCCAAGATAGACCATATAATAGGCCACAAAACAAAAAAATTAAAGAAAATTGAAATTATAGCAAGAACTCTCTCAGACTACAGTGGAACAGAATTGGAAATCAATTCCAAAAGGAATCCTCAAAACTATGCAAATACATGGAAATTAAATGACCTGCTCCTGAATGATTGTTGAGTCAACAATGAAATCAAGATGGAAATTTTAAAATTATTTGAACTGAACAATAATAGGACACAACCTATCAAAACCTCTGGTATACAGCAAAGGCAATGCTAAGATGAAAGTTTATAGCATTAAATGCCTACATCAAAAAGTCTGAAAGAGCACAAATAGACAATCTAAGGTCACACCTCAAGGAGCTAGAGAAACAGGAAAAAAACAAACCTAAACCCAGCAGAAGAAAAGAAATAACCAAGATCAGAGCAGAAGTAAATGATATTGAAACAACAACAACAAAAAACCCTACAAAAGATAAATGAAACAAAAATCTGGTTCTTTGAAAAGATAAAGAAAATTGATAGGCCGTTAGCAAGATTAACCAATAAAAGAAGAGAGAAGATCAAAGTAAGCTCAATTAGAAACGAAACAGGAGATATTACAACTGATACCGCAGAAATACAAAAGATCACTCAAGGCTCCTATGAATACCTTTACACACATAAACTAGAAAACCTAGAGGAGGATGGATAAATTCCTGGAAATATACAACCCTCCTAGATTAAACCAGGAAGAAATAGAACCTCTGAACAGACCAATAACAAGCAGCGAGATTGAAATGATAATTAAAAAGTTACCAATGAAAAAAAAGTCCAAGACCAGAGAGATTCACAGCTAAATTCTATCAGACATTCAAAGAAAAATTGGTACCAATCCTACTGACACTATTCCAAAAGACAGAGAAAGGGAATCCTCTCTAAATAATTCTATGAAGCCAGTGTCACCCTAATAACAAAACCAGGAAAGGACATAACAAAAAAAGAAAACTACAGACCAATGTCCGTGATGAACATAGATGCAAAAATCCTCAACAAAATACTAGCTAACCAAATCCAACAGCATACCAAAAAGATAATCCGCCATGATCAAGTGGGTTTTGTACCAGGGATGCAGGGATGGTTTAACATCTGCAAGTCAATAAATGCGATACACCACATAAACATAATTAAAAACAAAAATCACAAGGTCATCTCAATAGATGCAGAAAAAGCATTTGACAAAATTCAGCGTTGCTTTATGATGAAAACCCTCAGCAAAATCAGCACAGAAGGGACATACCTTAAGGTAATAAAAGTCATTGAGGACAAACCCACAGTCAACATTATACTGAATAGGGAAAAGTTGAAAGCATTTCCCCTGAGCACTGGAACAAGATAAGGATGCCCACTTTCACCACTCCTATTCAACATAGTACTGGAAATCCTAGCCAGAGCAATCAGACAAGAGAAAAAAATAAAAGGCATCTAAATTGGTAAAGAGGAAGTCAAACTTTTGCTGTTGGCTGATGACATGATCATAAGCCTAGAAAACCCTTAAGACTCATTCAAAAAGCTCCTAGAACTGGTAAATGAATTCAGCAAAATTTTAGGATAACAAAATTAATGTACACAAATTAGTAGCCCTGCTATACACCAACAACAACCAAGCTGAGAATCAAACCAAGAACTCAACCCCTTTTATAATAGCTGCAAAAAACAAAATACTTAGGAATATACTTAACCAAGGAGGTGAAAAACCTCTACAAGGAAAACTACAAAACATTGCTGAAAGAAATCATAGATGACACAAACAAATGGAAACACCTCCTATGCTCATGGATGGGTAGAATCAATATTGTGAAGATGACCATACTGCCAAAAGCAACCTACAAATCCAACATAATTCCTATCAAAATACCCCCATCATTCTTCACAGAACTAGAAAAAACAATCCTAAAATTCATATGGAACCAAAAAAAGAGCCTGCATAGCCAAAGCAAGACTAAACAAAAAGAACAAATCTGGAGGGATTACCCTACCTGACTTCAAACTATACTATAAGGCCATAGTTATCAAAGCAGTATGGTATTGGTATCAAGACAAGCATATAGACCAATGGAACAGAATAGAGAACCCAGAAATAAAGCCAAATACTTATAGTCAAATGATCTTTGACAAAGCAAACAAAAACATAAAGTGATGAAAGGACACCGTATTAAACAAATGGTGCTGGTATAATTGGCAAGCCACATGTAGAAGAATGAAACTGGATCCTCACCTCTCACCTTATACAAAAATCATCTCAAGATGGATCAAAGACTTAAATCTAAGACCTGAAACCATAAAAATTCTAGAAGATAACACCGGCTTAGGCAAAGACTTCTCATGACCAAGAACCCAAAAGCAAATGCAACAAAAACAAAGATAAATACATGGAACTTAAACTAAAAAGCTTCTGCACAACAAAAGAAATAATCAGCAGAGTAAACAGACAACCCACAGAGTGGGAGAAAATCTTCACAATCTATACATCCAACAGAGGACTAATATCCAGAATCTACAAGGAACTCAAACAAATCAGCAAGAAAAAAACAAATAATACCATCAAAAAAGTGGGCTAAGGACATGAATAGACAGTTCTCAAAAGAAGATATACAAATGGCCAACAAAAACATGAAAAAAATGCTCAACATCACTAATTATTAGGGAAATGCAAATCAAAACCATAATATGATACCACCTTACTCCTGCAAGAATGGCCATAACCAAAAAAAAACAAAACAAAACTATAGATGTTGGCATGGATGTGGTGAAAAGGGAACACTTTTACACTTCGGAGGGAATCTAAATTAGTACAATCACTATGAAAAACTGTGGAGATTTCTTAAAGAACTAAAAGTAGATCTACCATTTGATCCAGCAGCCCCACTCCTGGGTATCTACCAAGAGGAAAAGAAGTCATTATATAAAAAATATACTTGCACACGCATGTTTATAGCAGCACACTTGCAACTGAAAAAATACGGAACCAGCCCAAATGACCATCAATCAACAAGCAGATAAAGAAAATGTGGTGTATATATATACCACAGAATACTACTCAGTCATACAAAGGAACAAAATAATGGCATTTGCAGCAACCTGGATGGAATTGGAGACCATTATTCTAAGTGAAATAACTCAGGAATAGAAAACCAAACATCTGTGTTCTAATAAGTGGGAGCTAAGCTATGAGGACACAAAGGCATAAGAATAATACAATGGACTTTGGGGACTCAGGGGAAAGGGTGTGGGGGGCGGTGAGGGATAAAAGACTACACATTGGGCACAGTGTACACTGCTCAGGTGGTGGGTGAACCAAAATCCCAGATATCACCACCGAAGAAATTATTCACATAGCCAGGCGTGGTGGCTAACACCTGTAATCCCAGCACTTTGGGAGGCCGAGGCAGGCAGATGGCGAGCTCAGAAGTTCAAGACAAGCCTGGCCAACATTGAGAAAACCCATATCCACCAAAAATAAAAAAAATTACCTGGGTGTGGTGGCGTGTTCCTGAAGTTACAGCTACTCAGGAGGCTGAGACAGGAGAATTGCCTGAACCCAGGAAGCGGAGTTTGCGGTGAGCCGAGATCTCACCATGGCACTCCAGCCTAGGCAACAAAGCAAGACTCTGGACTCTGTCTCAAACAAAACAAAACAAAACATAACAAAACAAAACGAACTTTTTCATGTAACCAAACACCACCTGTTCCCCAAAAACCTATTGAAATAAAACAACAAAAAAGAAATGTCTATTCAAGTCCTTTGGCCACTTTCAAATTAGTTTTTGTTATTGAGTTATAGTTCTGAACATTCTGGATATTAATTCTTTATTAGGTATAAATCTGCTAATATTTTCTCCCTTTCCATGGATTGCTTTTCATTCTCTTTATAGTGTCCTTTGATGCACAGAAGTTTTTAATTTTGATGAAGTGCAATTTCTCTATTTTTCCTTTTGTGGCTTGTGCTTGTGGTGTTACCTTCAAGAGATCACTGTTAAATCCAATGTCATGAGGCATTTGGTCTATGTTTTCTTCTAAGAGTTTTACAGCTTTCTTTCTTTTTCTTTCTTTCTTTCTTTTCTTTTTTTTTTTTTTTTTTGAAATCTGCAAGTCTGTTTTATTTCCATTAGAAAAATATTATCCATATTAAATTTTGGTCCACTTTCTTCTCCTTGACCTCAAATTTAAACACTTAAATTTTATTCAAGTAGAAGCAGAATCACATACCTGACATGAAAACTAAATCATTCACATCATTAGTTTGAATTAGAGATGTTCTTGATTATTTCTCAGGAATAATTACTCTTCTTTCCTACCTGTTATTTCTCTTTTATTTATTGAGTAACTATGTAATGGGTATCTCTTTCCTATATTCAGTAATACAGGTGTAATTTAAAACAGTAACTGGATTCCTTCTCTAATCTTCAATTCATGTTTAACTCTCCCTATTATATGGTATTTCCATAATAACTTCAGATATTTTCATCAAGCTCACACTGTCATCAATTGTGGAAATTAAAAGGTTAATTAAGATGTTACATCAGTTGTAGATATTAAAATGTTGACAATTCCGGACTTCAAAGCACTGGCCCACTTATAGTGATGCTGTTGTCAGCGGTGCTTGGACAGCTACTGCTTCACTTTCAATTTGGCTACCTTTGGGCAAAGCAGCAACTTGGTAAGCAGCTCTAGCAGGAAAATTACTCTTGAAATACTGTTTGTAGACTTCATTGACAGTATTGAAGTCGTTTATGTCAGCCAGAAGAACAGCTGTTTTCACCACATTAGTGAAGTCATAGCCTGCAGCTTTCAGAATTTCACCCATGTTTTTAAGAGCTTGTTTAGCTTCTTCTGCTATCCCTCCTGACACAAGCTGTCCACTTGAAGGGTCCATGCCTATCTGTCTTGAAATGTAAATGGTCCTGTTGACTAACACAGCTTGACTGTAGGGTCCAATGGCCCCTGGAGCTTTTGCGGTGCTGATCACCCTTTTGATCAAGGATGACATGGCTAAGTCTTCCCTCTTGCAGCCCCTTCAGGAGAAGAAGCCCCAGCACCAGTGCTGCTCGCCTCTCCTACAGCTTTATTTCTTATGTTTACGTTGGTGATTCATTTTGGTGAGTATAATGTAAGGTAAAGGTCCAACTTCCTTCTTTTGCATGTGGATATCCAATAGGAGCTTACATTTTTATGTGGATGTCTATTGAGCCACTGTTAGCATTTTAACACATAATGGGACCCCCTCCTTTGCCTTTCTCATTATAAATGGCCAAAAATGACCCCAGCAATGACTCATACCAGTACTTAGAAGACTTAAGCTGTAACCAGTGCCTGAGCTCATGTCTTGTGGAGGTTTAAGCCAGCACTAACAAGTTGGCAGTGCCTTGTATTACCACTTTGCTTATAATAATATGGCAAAAGGTATCATTATTGGAATTGCCACAGTGGGTTCACCATTCAGACTTCTGGATGTGTTCGTGCAGTCAGAATTTCTGAGACAGATGACCCTAATATTGAACTCAGTTCTAAGGTTCTTCATTCAGACAAGAATGACTATGTTTGCTACAGGAAAACTCAGTAGGAAAGCTGACTTGCATATTCAGCACAGAAATGCAAAGGAAAATGAAAAAGGAAGAGAAAAAAAGAATGCATATTCATGAAAAATTAAAAATATTTATATTTTCAGCAGTATTGCCAGTTTAAGAAGCTTTGCCAGCCCATGGAGAAAAATCCCTAAAAGGAACAATTGTGAGGTAACTTTCATATGAAATGCTGCTCTTATGTTCTTCATGCTTGTAATGGCATATCTGTGTAGGTTTTTTCACTTATTTTTGTGACTGAATTGGGTATTTTGGTGGTATATAATGGATTTCCAGGAAAAAACCCCCAAATCTATGACACCGGATCTATACCATGCATTGGATGACTATCATTCACTTAATTTCCTAAATTGAGGGTCATATATATTTCAGTAATTTTTTTCTATGTATTTCCTGTATAGTTGAGATCATACTGTATACATACGCTTTCACTTTTCTTTTTCTCTTACCGTGTCTTAAACATTTTCCGATGCCACTGAAACTCTGCAAACATCCCTGCTAATGGCAGCCCAGCATTTCCTGATACTGATGCACCATGGTACTATGTGCAGCGTTCGTAACTCGGTAGTTTTCCAGTGTTTGTCTATTTCCCTTTTCAGCCCCATGGCACAGGGACCAATTATCATTAGGGTCCTATTATCTTTACCACAAAGCACAGCAACCTCAGAAAGCCTTGATCGGTTTTTGTTTTTGCCCAGCCCTTCCACATGCATTGCCAAGTCACTCGTGTTTGGGTGCCGTCAGGATACCGATTATGTCCACACCCAGACTGCGAGGTTTATGTTGCTAATACATCTATTTGTCTGTTGCAAAGTTCTAGATTGAGGGAGAAACAATTATTTGTCCCCCTTTCCCTTCAGTTCCTCCTTGCCTGGAATGATCTCCTTTTTCTTAGCACTGTCTCTGAATCGTCTCTTTAATTTTCAGTTTACTCTTCTAGTCTCACCAGCTCCATGAAGTTTTTTTCAACCACTCTCGCTCACATTAATATCTCCCTCCAGGGAACCGTCTGCACCTTCACTTTAGTACTTTATTGCCAATCATCTTGTATTATTCTTTGTTTCTTTTACTGTAGATTATAAGTGCATGAACAGCAGAAATGCTTTTAGAATTCTTTTCCCTTCCTATGAGGTAAAGCACAGAAAGGTGACATCCAATAAATTCTAGCTGAATGGAGCAGAGTTGAAGTGCAAACGAATGTACTGACTAAAAGGCTAAAGTGAGATTTTCCTTAATTTTAATAACAACAATACAATATTTGGCATATGTCCAATATCCAAAGTAAGAATTTAAACCATGTCATTTTATCATCATCTGAACTGGATATTAGTAAAAAAAAATTGCTACTTACTCAGAATTCTTGCAAACCCAAAGTCACAAATCTTGATTATTCCTTGCTTAGTTATTAGAATATTTTCAGGTTTTACATCTCTGTGAATACACTGTAAGATCATTATTTGATTATTTTTCTGAACCACCAAAATGACAAAGGATAAACATTAACTACTAGTTTAATAGATACACAGCCTATGAGATAAAAACAAATGTGGGTTTCCTTCACTTTTCTAAAAGAACTTAAATTGGCAGTTTTTCACTTGTAACTCTTGTCATACCCAAATTAAAACATTTATTAAAATATTGTTTTATTATTGAAATAATTAAAATTATAATTGTATGTGAAAACTGTCTTTTTTTTTTTTTAAAGAAGGGATTATCAGGCTAGGTGTGGTGGCTCATGTCCATAATCCCAGCACTTTGAGAGGCCCAGAGGATAACTTGAAGCCAGGAGTTTGAGACCACCCTGGGCAATGCGCTGAGACCCTGTCTCTACAAAAAAGTTAAAAAATTAGCCAGGTGTGGTGGCATGCACTTGTGGTCCTAGCTACTCAGGAGGTTGAGGCTGAAGGATCATTTGAGCCTAGAAGGTTGAGGCTGCAGTGAGCTATGATCACACTGCACAGAGCCTGAGCAACTGAGCTAGACCCTGTCTCAAAAACAAATAAATAAAAATAAAAAATTAAATTCAAGAAGAGAGTATCATACAATTCTTTCACTTTTTGCTGGTCCCTGTTTAAACTGTATGAGGTAAAACCTTAAATGAGATTAGACTCAGAGTACCTCTAATAACTGCTGCCACCCAAGAGTCACAATTAAGGTTGAAAAACTTGCAGATTTGAGAAATTAGAAAAACATTTAAATGATAACAAAAAGCAAAATTCACTTCTAATTAGAATGACCATATTATTTACATCCAAATCAGGAGACTTACAAGTGTGAAGGAGGGGCCTATTAATAATCATGCCAGGACAACAGGGACAAACCAGGACTGCCTGGGTGAGCTGGGGCGCACAATCCCCTACTTAGCAGAGATTCCGAAGCATTCCTCGTCAGGAGATGGGCATCATTTCCACATCCTCACCACGGAGCTATCCTGGAACGATCAGCAACACTCCTGAGATGGCCCACGATGTTGTCAGAATCCCTACTGGGAAAGTGGGACATGTGGCACTCTGACCTCACTCACTCTGTCGCCCAGGCTGGAGTGCAGTGGCGCGATCTTGGCTCACTGCAAGCTCCGCATCCTGGATTAAAGCGAGTCTCCTGCCTCAGCCTCCCGAGTAGCTGGGACTACGGGTGTGTCCCAAGTAGCTAGGATTACAGGCGCTCACCACCATGCCCGGCTAATTTTGTATTTTTAGTAGAGACGGGTTTCACCATCTTGTTGTCCAGTCTGGTCTTGAATTACTGAGCTCAAGTGATCCGCCCACCTCTGCCTCCCAAATTGCCGGGATTACAGGCGTGAGCCACCGCGCCTGGACCCCGCTATGCTTTCATATGCAGCGGCCTTACAATTTGCTGCCGAATCATAATGACCCTGAATGAAGCAGATGCTCCTTGCCGGACAGGAGCGGCCCGGCTAGAGGCCTGGGTGAGGGCAGGCTGAGTAAGCCCGCGCGCGCATGGGCATTCCAGAAATGGGTTTCCAGGTTGCGGAGATGCTGTGAGAAAACAGCTCAGACCTTACCCTTCAGAACTTCCCGTTTATCCACGCTCCCAAAAAAGAAAATGGATGAAAATAATATCGATCTCTATTACTGGGCCCTCACAGGGAACTCTGTACTTTTCAAAGCACTTTCAATTCAAAGCATGAATTATTTCATCCTTGCAACAATCCTGTGATTGCAAGTGGCCGCTGACAGAGTCCATGAATTGAGTGTCACAATAATCAACTCCTTCTGCCTCCCTCTCTACTACGCTGTCAGGCCCTTTAAGCATTTTTGTCAATTTGACTATTCTGAAATGGTTGTCTTTGGTTCTCTAATAGCTATCTAGGAAGAGAAAAAGAGCTGAGCCCTAAATTCATTTTAGGTTGCAGAAATGACACTGGTAGCAGGAGCTTGTTCCTATTTAGTCTCAATTACTGTCAACTGCTTCGTAATTTGTATGAAGAGCAGTTAGAAGAAACTTTTTTAGGTCTCTTAAAAGTACTAAGGCCTTAGACACTAATTAGAAAAAACACATAGGCCGGGCATGGTTGCTGATGCCTGTAATCCTTGTACTTCGGGAGGCCAAGTTGGGCGGATCGCTAGAGCCCAGGAGTTTGATACCAGCCTGGGCCCAATGGTGAAAGTCAGTCTCCACAAAAAATACAAAAATTAGCCAGGTGTGTGGTGTGCGCCTTTAGTCCCAGCTACACAAGAGGCTGAGATGGGAGGATGGCTTGTGCCCAGGAGGTGGAGGTTGCAGTGAGCCAAGATGGCACCACCGCACTCTAGCCTGTCTGACAGAGTGAGACCCTGCCTAAAAAAAAAAAAAAAAAAAAAAAAAAATTGTTGGAATATAAATGAACATAGTTTTGATATCCTACCTTTTAAGCAACACACTTAAGAAATTTAGACTAACACTCTGAGTCAGTAACACTTATAGTTGGTGATTACATTAGAACAGGTTACGTCCTTTAAATGAGTTTGCATCAAATTCTACAATTTCTAGACTATGTGTAGCATTACCAAGTAAATGGATTTACATCGATATCTGTCCATTGGCCTATACATGTTTTCTGGATCTAATCCATGTGAAATTTATAGCACTTATTTTTCAACCAAATATACAAAAGGAAATGAAGTATTGACATATCCCAAAGAAACAGGAACATTTATGGGTATAGGAGCAGGTAGGAGAAGTTACTGATAAAGAGTGAGAGGATACTGAAGAAATTTAAAAGGGAGTAAAAATAATTGGAACCTGGTTGGGTGCGGTGGTTCATGCCTGTAATCCCAGCACTTTGGGAGGCTGAGGCAGGCAGATCACCTGAGGTCAGGAGTTCGAGACCAGCCTGGCCAACATGGTGAAACCC